TGCAACGAAGCAATTCATGCCGTTTTATTGCTTTTAACGTTGAAATGACAAGTGCAACAGGTGAAGATGAAGTTGTTGCGGAATTGTTGTGAGTACTAGAGGTGGGCGGATCGATCCCAAAATATCGATACTTCCGATATTACGTTACGTTTCAAAATATCGATACTAGAACCAATAGGATCGATACTTTTATACTTCACCCCCCGTCTCCTCTACTCTATAAAATACTCTAAAACTATGTGCAGACGAACACAAGTATCTGCTCTTTTCTTCTCTCTCCACTGCTGTCCTCTCCTGGAGGCTCGCGCACGATCAGCGCGCTCCCTGCCTGAATGCCGATTATCAAGCTGATTGACAGCAACCAGCAGGGCAGGACAGCAGCAGCCAGCGACTCGCGAGTGCAACACACACACACGCATGATGGCTGAGAGAAAGAGGAGCGTTGTGTGGAGCAATTTCACAACTGGCAATTCAAACTTAGCGAACTGTGATGTGTGCAAGAAGACAGTTCGCTACTCTGGCCACTTTGTATTGTTATTTTTCATGCTGGGGGGGCGGCGGCGGGGGGTGTGTGTGTCTACAGAAGGTCCAGTTGTGATAGACACGGTTTGCCACTGCCGGTTTGAGACCCCTCTGATTGGCCACTGTAAATGCCACTCCTCATCTCTCTCAACGGCGCTCTTATTATTGTTTTGAGACTGGCATGGCGGACAGAGCGAAGTGATCGAAGGTCTGGGTGCACTTTAAAAAAATGTAGTGGCGATAGTGCAATCTATGTACTAAATTAGTTGCTTGTAAAGGGGCTAACACAAGCAACTTAATGAAGCATTTGCAAACGAGACACTCATTGAATCTAAAACGGTGCAGCGTATTTGACAGCCCAAACAATGTGGCAGCAAGCGATACTGCTAGTGCCAACAGTGCTAGCGGGCTTCAGCCGCGCCGTGTGTAAAGGTGACCTGAGCGAAGGCTCGCAGGCAGGTTAGCTGCTGCGCACGGGAAATATGTTTTATTTACCTGAGTGCAGTCTTGCAGGCACATCGCCTTGTCTTTTTTTGGTTTATTAACACTGACAGTGTATTAATTTGAGCTCCTACACCTATAATAATGTGGCTTTCCATTGAATGCTTTATAAACTAAACAGTTAAACTTACAGATGTCATTGTGAATTGGAAAACTGCATTTAAATGTTGTTAAAGGTCAACGTTTCAATGTATGGTTCAGCAATTGTTGGTCGTTTACTAGGAATTGACATATTTTAAGCTCAAATACGTTGTTCTATGTTCAAACCTTCAGACACATTTTGACGTGTTTCAGTTCAGCACATCATTTATTTTGTGATGATTTACAAGTACAGTCCAGAATAATATACGTACTTTATCTTTTTGCCATCTTAGCCTTTTTACCAATTTCTTCATATCACAGTTTTGCATGATGTCACTGTAGGACAATGTTTTAAGGATCTCTTGTCAGGCCAGGTTGTCATTTTGAAATGTCTGGATGAAGATGTAACTGATTTACAAATGTTAAAAAAATGTAAAAACAAATGCCTCTTTTCATCCTCTGTCTGAGGGAAAAACCCCAAAAGCATGATAGGGCGAGCCAGGCCCCTTTAAGTTATTTTATTTATATTTGTCTGCTTCTTAGAAGTTAATGTTTAATCTTCACATCTTGTATTCATGTCTATAATTTTGAGCACCAAATTATTGAAAAGTATCGATAAGATTATCGAAAAATACCGATACCGATAAGCAGTACCGGTACCGGTATCGATAAAATCCTAACGATACCCATCCCTACTCAAGACGAGTTACGTGCTGGAGCTATTTATTGATGAACAACTGCTGCGGGCAGTGACTTTTTACCTGATGTCAATAAGCTTTACATTTTTTATATGTATGGTTTGTGGGTTAAACAGAGTTTTATATGGCATATTTTAAAAGCCATGCAAACCATATCCCAAGTTTCCAGTCTTTATGCTAAGCTAGGCTAATCAGACTCCAGCTCCATATCCATAGGAAGGTTGTATAACCTGGCACAGATTTTACAAATGGAGAATACATCTACTTGTGATGAGCTGTTGCATAATGTCTTCTGTAGCTCTGGAGGGAGTATTCCAACGTCTTAGAAAATAACCTTACAAGTATCATCGCTGCGGGGAGTAACATTTTAATAACGCTCACTAAAGTGAACTTATAACTCAGACATGAGTTGCTACCAAAATCATCATTTAACTTTCTTTAAATAATAAAAAATAGATATTGTGATTCTTTTTTTAACAATTCCTCTCCTTCTGAAATGTAAACAACTGTTTTACATCTTGAATCCAAGCAAACAAATAAACATCTTAATAGAACAATAATATAAATGTTTAGGATTCTTTAGGTTAACAATTCAAGTCAATAATCAAATGTAAACTGACAGTATTTCAAAAATAATTCACAGAAGTTTTGACAATCCATACCGTTTCACAATATATATATTGCCGCAATAGTAACTACAGTGTACCAATATTTCCACACCCCTAACTTTTACAATAAATAATTAATCTTTAGAAAGGTTTAAAACATAATTCTGAATTTAAATCACACCTGTAAAATATCCAGTGGCTGTTTCATTAATTTTGATAAATGTACCCCTGCATTAAAAAAAACATTTTCTAATCCACATTGCAATAGGAAGTTAAATGATTCTTACCTACTTGATCTTTAAAAATCTTGGAAATAACCACAGGGACGTTGTGCTCTGCACCCCCCTGAAAAGCACGAAAGAAAGAAGAGTTGTTGCGTTTCAGAGGTGAGATTTGCTGCAAAAAATGCTTTCTACAACCAAAAGCCCTTTTTCATTTCCAGTTTAATCTCTCCATAATGGAACTTTTGCTTACTTTGATGCTTAAGCCCAGACCGCCAGCCGCCTGTCTTCGCAGTAAAACAGTTCTGTGCTTTAGAAAGTGGGAGTTTCTTATTGGCAATAGGATATTGTGAACATTTATTGAAACAGTATTCTGGAGTTATGCGGCATGAATTACAATGCATTACTTGAGCCCTGGGGCGCACTTACATTTACTTGGGATTCACTTCCATTTGTGCAAACCACATCCAGCTTCTGTATGGTTAACGCCTCTTTGGTCAATTTCAGGCAGACATCATAGGTATTGTTGGTCTCCTCATTGTACAGCAAAGCAATTCCAGATTTTGTCTGTTGGAATTGAGAAGAGCATTAACATTCTGCCAAGCGGAGCAATTATGTACACAATGAACATTAATACATAATCCTCTTTTCCGAACGTGTCATTTGTGTACCCTCATTCTAATGGTCGAGATTTGGGTTAATTGGTATTGCTCGACATTGTGAAAGCTTGAACCTTGGTGTAATAGAAAATATGAATTTCATGCTTTGACTTTTATATCTGTAACTAATCAAAAAGGATCTGCAAAAGTTTAGGATACTACATTTGACACTTTAAGGAAGGATACGACAAAAGCAAATAAAAGATCCTTTGCACTAGGAATATTTCTGTGTACCTGTGACCATAACACAATGTAGTTTAAATGTCACCCTCAAATTTCATGCATTATTGTCATTGCTTTATCACCATCTGCAAACCTCTAAAAAATACAGCAACCACACCCTTTAACTGCTCTAACAAATTAGAAAAAATAAACTGATCTTTTTTTGTCTTGAGAACACGTGATTGTTGGGTTTGTTCAAGTCGTCTGTTCTTTTGTCCCTAACTTTCCGTTTGTCTGACCTATCCAACACCCCATTTAAGTCATTGTCCAAATGTGTTTTTCTGAAAAACCTTTATAACTGAATTTATTTTTAATACCATGGTTTTGGAGAAAATGATGGCATTGAAGATTCAAATCAGGGTGTTTCAAAAAGGCCTGCTAATGTTTTGAGTCCAACACTTTCATGAATACGGTGTAACACTTCAAAGGATTAGTTTAGATTTTCGGGTTGTATGACGTTCTTATGTAACCGTGTATTAGTGTATTGAAGCCAAGCGATGTACTGCTGATGGGGGCATCAGCAAAACATATTTTAGCCACTCACAATCAATATGTGTTTAAGAGCGCTATATTTAGAATATTTTAACTGTTTTGACTTGTCAATAGACAGCCTTTATCTAGGCTTTGACAAAAGCCACTAGACTTCCTTGACCGGAATAAAACAAAGGACTGTACTGCTCTTCTTAGTTCTGATGTTTTGAAGGACTAACTGATCAAAACTGCAGTAAACCAGCAACTTATGTGTTCTGTGGGGTAAAATTAAAGAGTCTGGTGGCTTTCAAGAAAGAATAGACTGATGTACAACTTTCAGAAAAGGCTTTCACACAACAGCATCAATTATCGAAAATGTTTAAAAAAAATGTGGGTGGCTATACATTTGGTTGCTTCCTCCATCAGCTGGTACTCCTGTCTGTTTCTACAAATTGAAGTGGTGTCTATCACAATCTGCAGTAGGAAACTTTTAAGGTTAACTTGACAAAGTTTGTTTTTGTACTTCCACTGGGCGCAGCAAAAGCCTGAAGATGGACCACCAACTGGTGGTTCCTTCTAACAATACATTTTCACTTCTATGTACTAGGGGTTTAACGGTACACGTACCGAAATTATTCGGTAAGGGCCCTTTGGTTCGGTACACGTGTACCGAAGTTTACCGAACGAATATAACGTTAAACGTAAAAAATTTAGAACGTGAACAACTTCTTGGAAGTAATCTCAGGTGCTGCGTCGCAGCATTCAGAGTAATTTGCTCACATTGGGTTCAACGCGTCAGAGCGAGCAAGTCATTTCATTGGACGAGAGGCATCGAGATGCTGCACCTTAATGTTTATTCTATTATATTTTGTATTTATTTGAGTGAATATTCACAGTTGAATAATAATTAAAAACCCAAAACTAATAGTTTATGTTTTGTGAGTACTAGTAGCCTACAGTAAAGTTCAAATACAGATTATTTCAGTTCATCTAAATGCTGCACCTTAATGTTTATTTTATTATATTTTGTATTTATTTGAGTGAATACATTATTCACAGTTTAATAATAATTAAAAAAACCCAAAAAATATTTTATGTTTTGTGATGAACCGAAAACGTACCGAACCGTGACCTAAAAACCGAGGTACGTACCGAACAGAAATGTTGGTGAACCGTTAGACCCTTACTATGTACACCTATTTACTACCTTACACATACTCTTAGGTGGCAGCGTGTGGTCTTAAGCATACACAGGGTGCAGTCAGTCTTTGGTCGTTTATATTTTAGGAAACCTTGCGGTAACATGTAACCCTGGTCTGTCCATATCGCAATTTACCATATCTCTCGAGGCAAGGCCATGTCTGAAGTTCAGTTGGCTCACCACGTCCATATGGAGCTATTGGATTTAAAACTATGACATTTGTCAAAATTAATGACATTCTATCAGCCTAATCTTTGTGGTGGTTTTGTTGCCATTATGCATTGTGAAGTATGCTAGCACGCTTACATAAATGGTTAACATTATTAACATCGTATTTTCTGAAAATTAACATGATTATAGTCACCAAAAATCGAACCACCTACTCTGGTTAGAAAAAAAGGTTATCATCACAGGTTTTAAGCTAAAGGAGGTGGAAGAAAAAAGGTGAACTGTTAACACGCTAGGCTCCATAAACATGGAAGCCAAATGTGTCATATTGTACTAACCTAATAGAAACGGCTTCAATCTATATATTTTTGAAAATGGCTCAGCACATTATGTATTGCATAAATCCTTTGTTTTGAAAATGCTGTAATAAATGTTTCATCAAAATCCTGTCACAGGAGTCAATTCGTTTGACGAATGATCTCACACAAAGGACAACAGCTCATGTTTAATGGAAAACAATTGCCAATTGAACTGGCGTGACTTTTAATAACAGAATTTTTTTAATATAGTGGAGTGGACATATTAAAAAAGGAGCACAAACATAATGCATTCCAATAGTCCACCACAAGCAAAAGTCTCTCTGCATGGCTTTGCTGTGTAAAGGACCGGCAGATACATTAAAAAAAATGTTCTCAATTTGAACTGATTTGAATATTTACTCACCAGCAGGTGGCAACAGAGGCTAATTGTATTTAACAGCCTGAAGAAATACCAATAAACATATTAACACAGTTTAAAACCAGGATACAATTCAAACAAATTAGGACCACTGTACACATATTGATATAACTGAAATGTCAGCGAGACCCCTGGGCTTGTTTGCCAGCAATAATTACGTCATACCGGGGGCGTTCGTTCCGGTGCACTCCGACAGCATTTAGCACTACATCGAGATTAAATTAACGAACTTCTTTTGGGAACACCCACATACCTATGGAGTTGGCCAGAT